CGGCCAGGCGCTGAGCAACATAGCCTGAGGCGCGTGGGGCTTCAGTTTACTGAGAGCTTCAATTGTAATTCCGTGGCTGTTGGATTGATCGAAAAAATTTGAGATCCGCTAATACAAGGTAGACAGCGACTAGGAATGTTACATCAAGCAGACAAGGGGTCAGAAATCACAAAAAACAACATGAGGCCTTGACCCTGTAAGTTTGGGCGCAGGCCAGCGAAAGCTTGCTGTCTCGCCCCTATCCGTAAACCCTAAAGCCTTGCAAACCTTAGACAAAACCCAGCTCCCTCCACTCGAACGACTAAGTCGGGGGGGGTTCCGGACGTCGTGAGGATTTTCAGTCCTTTCAAATCGGAATTCGGGGTGTAGGTCTCGGCGAGTTTTGGCTCTGAGGCTGAACCTTCTGCCATTCTGTTTGGGGGTTCAGGGTTTGTGGGGTTTAGGGTTCAGGGTTTAGGGGTTAGCGTTTAGGGTTTAGGGTTTAGTTCAGGGTTTCGGGTTCAGGTTTAGGGGTTAGCGTTTAGGGTTTTTGTTCAGGGTTTAGGGTTCAGTTTATAGATAAGTGCATCTCGGGTGGCATTTCAATCCGCACCCCAAAGCTTACAAGCCCGGGTGTTCTGAAAGGCCTGTCTCGATCGCGCAAAAGGGCCGTCCACAAAACCAATTCCTAAACCCTGTAAACTTCAAATCCTGAAAGCTACCTAACCCCCCCCCCAAAAAAAAATATAGTTCAAATAATGTCGCAACACCTATAAAGGGCTATTCTTCCACATACTTTTAGGGTCCAGGTAAACCCTAGAACCTCGAAACTCATAGAGGCACAGCCAGCCTCGAGTCGGAAGATTCTCCGTCAATGGATGTGGTCGCCGAAGCCACCACTACTCGGATGCGATCGCTTCGTCCACAGGACATTGGCCATTCCTAAGGGTCACCCTAAACCCTGAACCCTAAACCCCTAAACCCTTTTCATAATCCCTAAACCCCATTCCTAAACCCTAAACCCATAAACCCTCTTCTTAAACCCTAAACTCTCAACCCTAAAAGGCTAAGCCCTATTCCTAAACCCTAAACCCCTAAAACCTCTTCCTAAGCCCCAAACCCTAAATCCCCCACATTTCTCATACCCTGTACCCCAGGGATCCTAAACCTGAAACTCCTAAACCTTGTACCTAAACCCTAAACTCCTAACCCTTAAACCCTAAATCCTAAAACCCTCCCCCCTCTTCTGTGTCTCGGCCCTCGAGGCCCTAAGTCTTCAATTATCATAAATCCCATTAGGGGGGGGGGTCTAGGGTTTTAGGGTTTAGTGGTAAACCCAGAGACTCCAAAACCCCTTAAATAAAGGAATAGACATGAACTCTTATTCGGGTCCCTATTTCAACTTTTAAGGTATATTCCTTAAAGGGTTTTGGAGTCTTTGGGAACCCCAGGACCCTAGGATCCTAAACCCTAAACCCTAAGATCCTAAACCCTAAACCCTAAACCCTCAACCCTAAAAACCCCCTCCTATTGCGTGCCAGGAGCCCTCCAGCACGCTGCGGGCCTCCGCCACGCTGCGGCGCCAGCGCGATCCTTCGACCGGAGCGGCCGCCCGGTCGGGGAAAAATTAGTGTGAAAAAAGGGTTTAGGGTTCAGGGTTTAGGGTTTAGGGTTTAGGGTTTAGGGTTCGGGGTTTAGGGTTCAGGGTTTAGGGTTTAGGGTTTAGGGTTTAGGGTTTAGAGTTTAGGGTTGAGGTTGAGGGTTTAGGTGGTGGCGTGGGGTCTTTGTTGAAGCTTTGTTATGTGAGCTTCAGTTTTTGTTTTATTTTTAGCGGGGCTTGTAAGGTTCAGGCCAGGGTGCGAGCTCTGTTAGTTTAAGAAGAGCAATCCTAACATCTGGAAGCCTAACCCTGACCCCCCAGGTACCTACTATATTACTATATAGGGTACTAGAGCCCCTAGGGCCCTATATGGGAGTTTCCGAAAATAGGGGGTCCTTTTAGGGATCCTACTATTCAGGGTACTATATCAGGGTCCCCTATTTTCTGAAGCCCCCATATAGCCGGTACCTGGGAGGTTAGGGTAAGTCCCCGCTTTCCTGTGAGGTTGCTGGCTCTCTGCCGGGAGCGGTCCGCAGCTTCGACTGCCAAGCCATCTGCAACACTGCAACTCTCTGGCAGCTAATCACCATAAGGACTCTGTGGGGAAGCGCTCGAGTTTGTAGGGGGTTTAGGAAGTTTAGGGTTTACGGGTTTAGGCTTTCAGGGTTTAGGGGTTTAGGGTTTAGGGGGTTTCGGGGTTCAGGGTTTAGGGTTATCACGTTACTAGTGTTGTACACTATACACATCATCAGCGTCGTGACAAATGCAGCTCCTTGGCCCTAAACCCTAAACCCTGAACAAAAAAATCTAAACCATAAGCCCCAATTCGGTGACTCGTTTTTCTTTTGGATTCGCCCCCATGGGCTCTTGGCGCTGTTGAAGAGAACCCTGAGCTCCTACATCCCAAGACCGAAAGAGTCCCTGCCGGCAGCCTTCCGTAAGACGGGGATCCCCGTATAGTCGCATAAGTAAAGTAAAAGACGATATCCCCCAAAACCCTATACACTTTTGAGGCCCCTATATATTATCATTATGAAAGAAGTCACCGACACGCGGGGCTCAAGAGAAATCTTTGCTTCAGGTTTGGCACACAAAAGCGGGGTGCAGGGTGTGCGAAGATAGCCGTCAGGAAAAAGAGCTGATGTAGTCTCCCTAGGAGCCTACAAGCGCCATAAAACAAACAAAAGACAGCAAAAAGCGAAACAGCAACATCAGCCACACCGAAGCCAAGACTTAGGTTCTAGCCCAGCAACTTACCAGCCGAAGAATCTTCTCGAAAACTCGCCTAATATAATATAGGGGCCTAAATAATTACCTATACTATTTTGGGGGCTCCTTATTATGATTATAGGATAATATACCCCCCAAACCCTATTCTAATCATTAAGGCCCCTACATTAAACTCCAAACCACCAAGGCCTGGGCATTCGCAAGTCTCGAGCTGCACGGCATGCAGGCATTCGCGGCTCCTTGGCTTCGGGTGGAGGGTTTAGGGCTTCTCACCTTCTGATAAGGTTGCCACTGGGATTCTGCAGAGTCTAGGGTTCAAAACGGCCGCGGGTTTGGAGCTGGATTCTGCAGTAACATACTTGAATGCTGCTTGTTGTTCATGTTCCTTGAGGGAGCGATTATGAACAACGAGCTTCTATATTTTCCCCGGGTTACTTCAAAGTTATGTCAGTCCTCATGACAGGCATCCAGCCATTGTGGACTGTACAGCTCAAACTTCCCGGGCTCCAGAAAGATGCTTCCAGGCTCCTCAACCCCTAAGCCCTAAACCCTACCCAAACCCTAAACCCTAAACCTCAACCCTTAATCCCCAAACCCTAAACTCTAAACCTCAACCCCTACGCCCTAAACCCTAAACCCTACCCAAACCATAAACCCTAAACCCCAACCCTAGGCCGTCAACCCTAAACCCTAAACCCAAGCCCTAGGCCCTAAACCCTAGGCCCTAAACCCTAACACCTAAACCCCAAACATTTAAACCTCAAACTCCTCAACCCCGAGGTGCCTGCAGCTGCTGCCGAGCCAAGACTTTCGGAGCTCAATGCCCAGGCTGCAGGGCCCAAACACAGTCATGCACAGAGAGAGAGAGAGAGAGACAGAAGTGTACATATGTATGCTAGCGCATGGATTTCTGTCGTGCGTTTTTGGCGGGATAATAACGTTCTTTGTTTCCGCATTGTTTCAGGATGGCGGGATAATAACGTTCTTTGTTTCGGCTTTTTTTCAGGATCTACTTTGCTACTGCGTGCTCATGTCGGTGCTGGATGATGTATGATGTTCGCAGGGGGATGGTGGTGCTCTA